ATTTGTTTTTCCCCTTACTAGAATCACAGGGAGGCAAAGGAAAATCCTCTCTATGGAACCCTTGTTTCTTATCTGCCTCCAAACTTTGCTGGTGTCTTGCAGTTTGACTTGCAGATTTGTCTGGCTGACTTGAGTGTAATACTTAAAAACTGAATGATGAATAACTTATTTTTGCAAGCTTCTGTGCAATGTGGAGTTTACTGATGATTCCTGGCTCCTTACTAAAGCTGGTAATTACTGCTTGTTTAACTGGTGGTTGATTTGCACCCTCTTGGGAAACCTAACATCTCTGAAAATGACAGTGCAGAAACTGCTGTCTTGATGATTTGCTTTTCATTTTCCAAGTTTTGTAGGCTTTAATTTATGACTGTCAGCTACACCACCAGAGCATTGGTCCTTAAACTATTGGGGGTGGGTGGGGTGGTGTGCGATTGCAAAGGCATGGGTCTGTATATTGGAGTTTTTCACTGTTCAGCTGTTATTTAAGACAAACTCTTCTATTTTAACTTAAAATCAGGGAGGAGAGTGTTGCTGAAATGTACTTACATGGGGAAGGTAAGCCAACTAACAACCATTGTAATAGATTGTAGTGCAAAAAAAAAAAAAAAAAAAAAAACAAAGGGAACTTCTGTTCATTACTCCCCCCAAATAGAGGACCAATGAAGTCCCTATGAACCTAAACAGTGCATTCCTGACAGAGAACAATAATATGACAAGTAATTAAAGCAACTGAGAACAGAGAGCATCCAGCATTTATTAAAAAAAATATATATATTTAATTATTCATTAAATCCTTTCTTTATCAAACTATAATTTGCTATTCTGAAACTATAATTCAAATGTAAAATAAAAGGAAACTTTTTTAAAAGTCATAATTCAACTACCATTTTATTTCTCTTCTTCTGAATTACATTCCATCAAGCAATAACTGTCTTTATCTGTACTTAATAGCTCATTTTTCAGATTATAGAAGTGTTTTCAGGGCTTTTGTATTGTATTTCTGGGGTTTGATTTTATTCATTTCTAATATAAATTTTACAGAGTCTCCAAAGAATAATTCAGACAAGGAGTTGGCACAATAATGTGCCTCACATTGAAAAGAGCTGATTTTTGGAGAGAGGGCCACTCTGTAAAAAGCTATGTGCATTCCTGTTCATTACTGCCTGCTATAGTTAGTTTAGGTTCAGAGTTGGTTAACGAAGGGAGATGTTTCCAAAAATGGAGTGTGCTCTTCTGGACACAACAGTTGAAAAGGTATAGGAAATGTTTTATACTTGCTCATCTGGTAAATGGTTTGATTATTATGATCCAGCCTCCGGCTTTTGTAGCTAGCCCGTGCACTAAATTGGCCAGTACCAGTGTTCACCAATTACCTAAATTAAGTCTGGGTCACGCATCTCATCTCCTGTTTCTTGTTTGCTTTGAATGAATCCAAAAGCAGTGCTAACAGCTGGAATCCCTGCTGAGGCCAGCTTGATCTGCGCTGGAGCGGCTCCAGCCAGTGCTCTGATAAAGCTTGATATCGTTTCAACAGGCTCTAGGAGGACCAGAATGATTTCCCTTCATTGTTTGAGGTTTCATTCAAATATTCACCATGCCAGGAAAAAGGATATTTCACTTCTGCTTTTCTCCCTTCGCTGCTGCTGATAGAAAACTTTTTTTTTTCCCCCTCTTCTCTTAAAGTTAAGCTAGAATGTGGCCAGTGCTTTTGGATTCTGTGGGAATTGTTCTACGTCTTCATCCCCAGGGACTCCATGCGTTGCAGTTGCAAAAGGTGCATGCTGTAAATAAATAAATAATACATCAATGTCTTGGAGTCAAAGCACATGTTCTGCTAAGAGAACATATTATGTGAGGGAGGCCAGGGAGAACTTTGGCCTTTTGCCCAGATTTCGGTAGTAAGTAAAGCACCTAAATCCCTTTAAGGATCTGGCCTTGCAGTCTGTTATTCTTCAGCAGCTTTTTGATTGTGGCATTAAAGAATAGTAGTGGTATTGGATTGATTTTTTAGGCATTTCAGTGCTCTTGGAGTAATGTCTGCTCTCCAAAGAGAGACTTCCATAATTTTGTGTTGCACATTGACTTAAAAATGAGGTATTATCAGTCAATAAGGCTTTATTCCCACCGTGCATCATCCATCCCTCTGGCACGATTAGCAGAGCTCTGTTGAGGCAGGGCTCGTGCTGTTGGTGTAGGCACACGTCCTGTGGGCAGCAGCTCCGCTGGCTCCAGAGATGAGCCCCCCGGTGCATCCCTCCTCCCTGCCCATCTGCTGCCATTGCTGTCCCCTCTCCTCTCCGCTCCCAGGGTCACGTTCCCCAGCGTTCGAGGATCAAGTTTAGCAAAGGGGTACCATTTTAATTGTTCGCCCTAATCCAACTCCCTGTGCATGGGATGAGTGAAGGCTGTACTTGTGTGAGCAGGGTGCAGCTGTGCTAGCAGCTGGGATGGGGGGGCTGCATGAGGGGGGTTACCTTCCCTCCCCAGTGAGCCTACCGCTCCCTTGGACCATTTCTACGTTGTGATTAACAGCTGGCTTGTGGTGTCCACCAGGCTTGTGCCCCTCAGCCTGGCTTGTTCCAGCGCTAGGCTGTAGGGTGGCCCTCACCGCTGTTCTCAGGCTGGTAGTGAAATGTAAGTTCAGTTGTGGAGCTGTTTGTAGCAGCAGAATGACAGCAGAGCAGACAGGACCTACGGTAAGGCACCTAGCCAACTGCCAGGTGTGATGGAAGAGGGCTTATTACTGGGAATTAAAGGTATGCACTCTTGTTCAACATAATCTCCTATCCCGGCGGCCACCAGCCCCACAGCAGCTGAGGCCTGAGGTGTCAGGGCGAGGAGCGGGCCCCGGTGACCTGCTGCTGCCTGCAGCTCCTCGTGTGCTGGTGCTTGTGGGGAGGAAGGAAAATTGATTCATACCTGGCTTGAAATGCAGAGCAGTATTTTTGCAGCTGTATGTGTACACCTGTCCTAACTGGCCGACTCCTGTCAATAGCCTTTCATTCTTGGTCCAGGGGATCCATCGTGCTGGCTGGCAGTCACTTCTCTGCCAGTGTGTGTTGGCATGATACAATTGCCTTTGTGATTAAAACAGCGTGTGCTATACCTTGGCTGGTTGTGTGTCCCTTGAGAACAGCATGGCTTTAGCGTGTGCTAGGAACTAGAAAATAAGACCTCTGTTCCTGGATAAAAAATCCAGTTGCTCTTGGTAAAGCCCATACTGTCAGTCTGCAGTGTTACCAGCTGTGCTTGGCAAGGTACTGGGGACAGCTCACATAAATGGTGCACAATCACATCCTTATTCTGTGGGATAGGCATGTACATGTTGTATCCCAACTTAGGATGTTATGGTCTGGATGGATGGAAAACTAAATGGATAAAAATTCTGGCTGGATAGTTGGGCTTGGATGGTTAATGAGCTGTGTTATACCTAGAAGCTGCTAACAAATGGAGCACTGTGGGGGTCTGTCACAGGACCTGACCTGTTGACTACCTGTATCAGTAACCTGAAGCAGATGGCAGAGTGCACTCTCATCAAGTGTGGAGATAACATTAAACTGAGGGGGACCAATTGATGCACTTGAGGGCAGGGCTGCCACCGAATGGGACGCAGATGGGCTGGAGAAACAAGCCAGCGGCAACCTCTATGAAATTGAAAATGGACAAATGTGAAGTCCAGCCTCTGAGAAGGAAGAACCCCTTGCAGCAGGACAGGCTGGGGCAGCTTTGTCCACAGGGGAGCCTGGGGACCCTGATGGTCTTGGTGGCAGTAAGCCGAACGTGAGCCTGCAGTGTGACCCTGCACGGCAGCATCCAGGGCAACAGTCACAGGAGCACAGCCAGTAGATTGAGGGGAGAGATTATCACCCTCTCCTCAGCCCTGGGGACAGCACATCTGGACACTGTGTCCAGTTTTCCAACCAAACTCAGCCCAGCGTCTCCCATCACTCCTGCTGCTAATACTGGCAAGCAATGAAAGGAGATGTGAGGAGTGGGAACAAGACTCTATTGCCACAGTTTTTGTGGGCTAAACTCCGTGGTAGGTGACTCGTATCACTACCAAGTAGTCCCAATAGTGAAGAGGTGACCCTGAGACAAAGATCTGGTACCCTACCAGCAAACTCACCCACTCTTCCCTGCATTCTGCTAATAGTATCAACTCAAGTTTGATACATTTTTGTTGTAAAAACCCTTTTAAGACCTGTTGACTGTTGTGTGGTTTGGAGTTATTCGTGTTAGTCTTATCTCATCATTCAAGCTGCAATTTAAACAAACTGTGAATTAAGCGATCGTATCAGCAAGTCTGGAGATGATCAAAGAGAGAAGTATGCTTCTGAAAGCTGTTTGGTTAGTTCTGTGGCTCAGTCCGTGAAAGCAAACATGCACAGCCCAATGCAAACATAGCACAAAGGAGTTGCAGATTTTTGCAGACTTTGCTCTACGGACTTTTACCCAGGCCTCCTGGGGACCCTCACTTTGTATTGGACCATAGGGATGTATATGACAGGAACTGGAAGATATGAATGGAGGAGAACGGTGGTAGTAAGGCATGACATCCTGGGATCGCTTTCTACTTTCATTATGACAGGCAAATCAGTTTTGCAATGACTGCTCAGCTTTAGAAACCTAAGCAAACTTCAGCTGAAACAGCCTCAAAGTCACGTAGCTTGTGGAAAACAACAAACTTGTACCATACATACTAGTGTTTTAGTTTAATTCTATTTTTTTTTTCTTCTTCTCCTCCTTTAGTGTATATATTGTGAAATATGAAGGGTACTTATTTCCAGTTTGGAATTTCACACTGGCTCACCCAGTGAAAGAAGCTTGTGCAAAGACACCTTCTGATGGTGTCTGCTGTAGGTTTTGGATTGAGTATCTGAAAAATGCTGAGCCAAACTGGTGGTGGGAGGGTGTTTAGCAAAAAAAAAAAACTCCTGAAGGTGGACATCTCATAGAATTATTTATTTATTATTTATTAACAGTCTTTATCTTTCATTCAGGCTATGGTCGCTTGCTATCCTGGAAATGGAACTGGGTATGTTCGTCATGTGGACAATCCAAATGGCGACGGGCGCTGCATCACCTGTATTTATTACTTGAATAAGAACTGGGACTCCAAGGTGAGTAACTCACGGGCTTGAGGCAGAACATGAAGGAAAAACTGCTTAAGAAACAGGGCTTTGGAGCTGTCAGTTGATTCTGTGAACTCTGGTGAACTTTTGAACAGCTGGTCCATTCTTCATCTCTACATTTATTTTCTTCGTGTTTATGGCAACCCTTTGGAAGTAAGAATCTGAACTGCTTCCTTGTTCTCTCTCCCATCCCACACACATACTGTTTTGTTGCTATAGAATAAAGCTTCTAAGCACTGGGCTGCTGGCTCTTGCACTTTGTTTAGAGGAAAGAGCAATGGAGCACTAGAAAGAAAAACACAATCCACTACAGAATAAGTAGATTCTGGGAGCAGAGTAAAATGACAGCCCAAATTTTGGACTCTAGTGTTCTTAATATTGTTCCTTCAGGCTAACCTGTGGAAGATTTCAGCTGCCTTTGGGGTTTTCTTACTTATGAAGTGATGGGGCTTAGTAAGAGGAACGAGAACATGGCTTGGTTTGTCCTCTCCATTTTTGACTCACTAGTGGGTCTCTTGCTAGGATGGTGCTCTTGTTTCTGTCCTTATTACTGTAAGGTGTTAAAGTCAGCCTTGAATTTACCACACCTTTAGGTTAGAAACAAAATAAAGGTTTGTAAAATTGCAGATCTCTGTTTACCCTTCTGTTGTCATAATGTGGCACAAACAATTCGCATGGATTATCTACTGAAAACTGCCCAATGTTTTTTGTCTCTCTAACTTGGCTTGGCCACTTCAGGTGGATGCTCTTTAAGCACATGTAAGTACTGTGAACCCCCAAAAGCGAGTTCAGATTTAGAGGCAATGCCACTGAAAAATGCACTGCTGGAGAAAATCCCAGTCCTTTGTGGAGAGTATGGCAGTGAGACATCTCAATGTAATAAAATGCAGGAGGAGATGTGGGAGGAAATGCAAATATCCAATTTATTTTGTGCACTGCATTCTTACTCTGGTAGTGATGAAACACCCAAGTGTAAGAAAGCTAACTGAACTCCAGGAAACTGGTGGAGAGTATTTTGTGAGTGTGATGGAAATTTTATGCAAATGTAAGCTGGAAGAGGTGCAATATAGCCGTGCTGGTCTTTGAAAGCAACCATGTTGCTTTAAAGCTGACCTGTTAGTTTCTTACTGAGGTTTGCATGCCACGTGGAGGTACTAAGTCAGGTCAGTGCTGGGTTGACAGCATCTACTCTGCTTTCTGTGGTGTACCATAAAAGCCTCCGAAGAGCCCTCTAACAGCAGCAAGGAGGAGGCAGAGCTCATCTGCATCTGTTCTACGGTGCGTGCAGATCATCAGATTTTTTACCTGAAATTTGTGGCACATGGAAAGCAAGAAACGATGCGGTAGAGAAACCAGGCTATGTCATAAGTAGGGGAAAGACTGGCTGGGAGAGATAATGCATTTATTAGAAGTTTATTATAAATCCCACAATAGAACAGACTTCACTCTTCCCCAGGGTGTAAACGTTAACTCCTACATGTTCAAGTGCAGGCTCTGAAATGCCACAAGCAGTATCTAGCAATTACTGGGAGGAGAGTCTGATCTCAGACTGGTCCAGTGGAGCACCCCTTACTTGCCTTGTGGTATTCACTGATTCTAGAGATGTTACTGGGAGCTCAGAAGTCTCCCAGTGTTTGTTACAGGGCCAGTGTTGTCTTTATCTTGGTTCATTTACTTTTGCCAGATGTTTGTGCTGAAACATGACAAACTGTTTGCGAAAATCAAGGTGGCCAAGCGATTCAGTGTATGATTTTCCAATGTTGTCATGTAGCTGTCTTGGCTATCATTAGATGTTTATTCCCTATTTGTTGGGTGCTGAGGAGGGAGAAATAAGTCATTGTTTGCATGAATATGTGGGTGTTTATATGTTTAAAAAAGCAACCTTTCCTTTTCTTTCAGCTGCATGGTGGAATTCTTCGGATATTCCCAGAAGGAAAGTCCTATGTAGCAGATGTTGAGCCGATTTTTGACCGATTACTGTTTTTTTGGTCAGATCGAAGGAATCCACATGAAGTCCAGCCTTCTTATGCAACCAGGTAAGTAGCATATTTGGTATTGATATTTGGCCAGGAAAAAGCAAAGCATCCTTTCTACCAGTATTTGTATCTAAAATTATGGCCATTATGTATTTGTTTAAATGCACATGTGCATAAAAAATAGATGGCTGGATTTTGAGTGGATTTTATGTTTTTGATTCATGGGGAATTCTCTCATCAAATGAGGAAAAACAAGCTTGACTGATAAAATTCCTTGTGTGATACAAAAAAAGCCCTTTTACTATTGACTGGAGAAATCATCCAAGCCAGGCACTATTTCGCTGGGAGATGCTGGGTTATGCTTTTGCCCTCGTAACACTGTAGGGATTCTTGGGGCTACCATCTGTCAACAGGCTACGAAAGCTGATATGATGCAGGGCAACCCCCAAGCTGCCTGTGGGCATCCCAGAACAGAAAAACATGCAAAGGTCTGTAAGCTACTTTTGCCCTCTGCCAGGGGCTGTGCACTCTTTTGTGCCTCCAAGCAGAAATTCTCACCTATATTTCTATCAGACTTGATAAAACACACATTTAAAATGCTATCTATATTCATCTATAAAGATGTGGCATTTGCATCCTATTTTTTTTATCTACTAGTCCAGTTTTGTTGTTTGCTTTCTCCATGAGCATAAAAATTCAGGCCTCTATTTTAATAGCAGAAGTTGAAACAAACACAAGTTTTTTATTCTTTTATAGATATGCCATGACTGTGTGGTATTTTGATGCCGAAGAAAGAGCAGAAGCCAAAAAAAAGTTCAGGAACTTAACCGGTATGATTCTTTTATAAGTGTTCACTGGAAAGAATTTAATGCATTTTGATATTTCCAAAGTCAGAGACAGACTGGGAAGAGCTCTGTAGCTAGATGGGTATGACATTAATTTTTAGAAAGCTCTTTCATCTCTAATCACTAGCCAGTTATTTTATGCGAAGTGGAGAAGTTGTGACAGAAGATTCAGGCCTGGCGTCAGTATCCCTGATGAAGCGTGATGGGGGACACAGGAGAGGCAGTTTCTGATTTCTCTCCCAAATGGTTGCTGGGATTTTGTCCCGCCCCAGGTGACCGCTCCAGTCACTGGGAGTTTCTAAGCTCCTCTTTTGTTATTTGGGAAGTATATTTTTTTTCTCCTCCAAACTTTGTTTAGAACAAAGTCATGAGACTTACACAAACAGTTTCATAATCACGTTCTGTAAATGTTCTGGCCGAATAGGGCCTGTCTTATATATTAATAAAAGGGCAGTTGAGGCCTGCAGTAATGCAAAAAGGATCTGTCTTCAATTTACAAGTAATTTCTGAATGGGTATATTCATAATGACCTTGGAATGTATAGATCATGAGTTGGAAAGAAACTAAATTTAGAAATATATATGTGCATGGTTTGGCAGGCAGTTGCTAGAGTAGCTGTGAACATAGTGCACTTCATCAGCTACCTACATCCAGCTGGGTCTCACAGATAGCTTAGTCAGCCCACAGACACTTCTGCAGAAGCCCAGGAATAGGTGACCCCAACTTTCTTAACTGCAGCCCCACCTCCTACTGCTGTAGTAATGGCATACAAGTGATGGACTGAGTTGTCCAGATGTGTCCCGGGTCCATGCTCAAAGATTGGCTGTTTGGAGCAGTTTAAGATCTGGTCTTCGGAGACTACTTCAGGCAGTTTGTCAAAATATGGCATGGAGAGTATTCATCTTTTTAAAATGTGTTCTATGCAGCTGAAGACCAGCAAAGTTGTAATTAGTCAAATGCTTTTGAGAACAGACTATTGTCATCTACATAGCTAGTATGTAATGCAAATACTGGCTTCACCCTTAAAGGGGATCATGAGCAAGGGGCCAAGAGTGGGGAGAAAAGGATCACAGATCTGAAAGGTTTTTGGGATACTTAAAGAGTGCATGAGTCTCATGCATTCAGTCTCATGCATTCAGACTGCTTCAGTTTCAACAGGGCAAAGGTACGAAACATACAAAACCTTGGTATGAGCATCTCCTTAACATGCTGTGGATTTGTACAACATTTCAGTCCATGTAGTGAATTCATGTGGAATTCACGTGTAGAAAGTGGTCCATTGAAAACAAAGCAACTTTATTCTGTTTCTAAGTTTTCAGATGAATGCTGCCAGAACCCCCTGGCTTAACTGCCTCTCCTCTTTTCATCTTTTCCGTGTAGATGCAAGGAAGAGAGAAGCACCTCTTAATGAAGACTAGTCAACTGTTCCTGAACTCTTTGTGAAGAAATAAGATCCCAAAGATGACTTCCATTTCCAGCAAACAAGGGCAAATTATTGTTATGCACAAGAACGCACTGGTTGTGTTTAGCACGTGCATCTTACGTTGATGGTACTTAAGGCAGCCTCCTGTCATGCCTGCATCTGGCAGAAGAAACGCTTGTTTTCTATTTGCCTCTTGCTGGAAAAAGTAACCAGGGTTTAAAAAAAAAAAAAAAAAAGAGTATCATTAAGCCTAGTGGTAGCGGCTCAGCCAACTGGCTTTTGATCACTCTTGTAACCAAGATAACGATCATTGGAACTAGTGGTAAAAAACTGAGTCTTATTTGCACTTTATGGGGGGGGCAATAATCTAGCTCAATGGGAAGGAGCTTTACAAGTTTAAAATGTGTGGCAGACTGCTAATGGGCAAGGAGAGATATTGGAAATGTGAAATCAAACTGGATTTTTGTAGAGTGTCATCTTATGGTCTGTCCCACATGGGCCTGTTGATGTACTGTTCATCACTTTGCTGTGCGGAGCGTTGGCTCAGCTCTTCAATAGTATGACCTTCCAAACAGATAGGTTTTTTTTTGTGTGTGTCTACACAGTCATCACATTTCCTGGATTTTGTTTGCTTTTCAAGAATGAAGTTCTAGCTGTGCAGTTGTGCTGCCCTTTCTGTCCCAGGACTGAGGGGGGAGTAGTTATGCATCTGTCCACAAATTTGTAAAACCATTTCCCTTCTGTTCTGAGCAGGATGGGTTGTACGTTTTATATTTTCACGGTTTGGTAAAGCAGCTGTTTTCTCCCAAAAGTCTGGTAAACTTTGAAGGCTGATGGCACACAATGCATTGGCGCTAAAGGCTTATGATATGTAGAGTTAAGTGTTATTTTCATGATTTCTCCATCTACTATATTTTGTATGGCAGATATGAATCTGAAAGGAAAAGATATGTCTGGCAGTCTGACAAATGTATGATAAATAATGGGTTACTTGGACTTGATTTCTATGCTGCTTATCCTTAGTTAACACACTTGTTTAACTTTTGCATGCGTATGTAATTTGAATGAAACAGCGATTCAGTTTCAATTGATCTGTTACGCCAGGTAACTACTGCTGCTGTGCCCAAGCTGTGAGACCAGAGTTGTTCAAATGGCAAAGCATGTTTTTTTTCTCTCCATTATTTTTTTAAAACTTATTATACTCAATGATTAAGTGGTGAGCTATCTCCAATCTTCCTAAGCTTCTACAACCAGCACTTACTATGCAGTTCAGAATAGCTCTTAATGAAGCTGGGAGCTGGCGGTGGATGTATTTATCACTCAGACTAATTGCTCTCAACCTAATACACTCAACTTGCATTCAGTTTTGTCTGATGTTGTCAGTGTGTCTGTCAGACCCTACTAAATGTCCCATTCAGTGTCCCATGTTTTCATGTAACACCCGGCCGCGGTGGTGAAGGTGGTCTGTCTGTCTGTCTGTACTGCTGGCCCCTGCACTGGTTCACCAGGCTGTGCCAGTGGTGGGTCTGCACACCAGCTCTGTCACGCTCACACTGGGGAATGAGAAGCTGGGGAACACCAGCGACAGAAGGGTAACACCTGCATAGGCCAGAAAAAAAGTAACTTTCATGGCATTAAAAATGGTAATAGAAATGGAGTATTTTTTTAAGCAGTTCTGTCTCTTCAAAAAAAAAAAGGAAACAAAAAAAACCAAACCACTGGGCATCGTTCAGCCTGTCCTTGAATTCTGAATGTAAATATGGTAGTGCTAAGGAACCCCTCATTCTCTCTGGCTTCTCCCAGAGATCCAGCTATGGTCTTAAGGGCTGGACTTTGTTCAGTCTGACCACTGTGCACCTTAAGAGAGGAATATGAGGGAATGTGTGACAAATATTCTTATAAATCAAGACTAGAAAAAGGCAAATAATCTGATAAATGTCCTTTAATGTTAGGGAAAACATTATTCCACTACAGTTGCTTCTAAGTAGCACAACATAGACTTGAAGGAAACTTACTTAAGAATAACTTGAAATTCTCATTCTGCGATGTTCATGTGGGAGGAGAAAGAGAGCTTTTCCCTGAGAGTGAGAGGTCACCCTTTGAAAGATGGTGGGTGTTGAAAAAGGAGGGGCACAGGATTATTATGGGGGGAGGAACCCAACCTGTTGTATTGCTATGCAAAGTTGATAATGGCACGTAAATTTGAAACTCCTACATGATTTTTAAGAGGGCAAAGACAGCTAAAACAGAACAGAGCAAGCCTTGCTTTGCCTTTAGAAACTGTAATCTTAAAAAAAATGCACTAGAAAGAGATGTTAGTACACATCTCACTGGAGCTTAGAACAGTGGAAAAATGACGAGGTGGGAGGGGAAAGGCTTTGTATAAAGGTTGAAAAAGAAAGGTACTTCAGTTACCACTATTGCTGCCACCGGGCTCCAGCAGTGGTCAGCACGTGTGGTGGATGGAGCATGGAGCAGTATAGACGCATTTATTGTAAATAAAGTACATATTTTAATTTTTAGCCCATAGCTTCCTGATCTAGGTAGAGGAGAGGGTAATTATTCCGTGGCAGAGCGCATTATCTTTTTCTTTATTAACACATATAATTAAGTAAAAAAAAAAAAAAAAGGTTGAGATTTTGAAACCAATTCCTCAGTCCTGTGCCAGACATTTACCCTGTTTCCAGATCAGTGGGATGATGTCCTTGAAGATGTGGTAGTTTAATTGGGGGTTTGAGCGGTAACTAGGTGTTGGTCATGTAGGAATCCACAGGCTTGATGTTTTCTATACATATTTCTCTTGCCTGTCTCTGAAATTGTTGCAAACTGCTCTGCAAGAAGGAAATTGTCTGAAGAACTGTGGGGGAAGCAGACTGCTGCAGAAGGGGCAGTGTTTCAAGGAGACTCTTTCCTTGTGTTTTGTTGTCATGGCAAACTGTTTGAAACATCTGTCACCCAGTTGTGAAAAAGAGTGTTTTCTCTAAGGCATTTAATTTTTAATTCTCCAAAAGTTTTATTGGGTCTCTTCAATCTTTAGGTAATGTGCCTTCATTGTTCATATCTGTGAAGATGTTACATGCTACATGTGCGTTATAGAAGTTTTTTATGGGTCTTTAAGAAATATTGTTGCCTTTCCAAATGCAATTGCATTGGAAAAATATGCAGAGCCACCAAGCCACAATTTCTGACAGGTGGTTTTTGTTGTGCGGGGAGGAAAATGGCCAGGTGACCGTACTGAAAATAAAGAGAATATTTTTATTCTTAAGCCTGTAACCACTGGCCTTTTGAGCAAAGTAGCCTCTAATAAATCTTATTTTCAGTAGATTATGTCTGGTTCTGTGAGGAATGGCCTCTGCAAAGTAGTGTTTAAAAAGATCCACTCGTTTTTCTTCTCTCTTTAAACAGTTTTAGTCATTTCTATTGCGTTTTTTAAAATGTTGGAAAATATTATATGTATTTGTTGTTGTTGCAAAATAGCTGGCTCTAACACCACTTGCATCTAGAAGAAAATCTGTCTATTTGCAGGCAAATAACTAGTTCTACTTTGACTGTGCTGTACTCCCAGCAGATATCTGAGAGTGAGTTATGACTACATCTTCTCTTGTCAGGTTGTATGCTGGTCAACAATGCTGGCACTTTGCATCTGATTGATATAGAAACCCCTAGTAGTGTCTTACCATACATCACACTTTGTGTTCCTGTTACTATTTAAAAAAAAAAAAAAGGTGGCAGGAGTCAATAAACACTGGGTCATGTTAAACGTTGTCCTGTGCAAATCTCTTCAGTCTTGTGTCTTACCTTGCCAGGGTTATGGCAAGGTGGGTGCAGTGCCACATGGCTGGGTGAAGGATGGTGGCACCAGAGGTGACACCGTAATCCGTGGCCAACACTGTCTGCTGTTAGGGAGAGCTCTGTTTGTTGCCATCAGCTTGGCACGTTTCCTTGGTCACTTCCTGCTATTTTGAAGTTATTTACCTTGTTAGTGACCCTCTTCTTGAAATGCCTATTTGTTTTCACACTCCTGTTGAACCAGATAACATTCTCATGATTCAATTGTCGTCTGATAAGTTTTATTTTTAACAGTGTTCACATCCTCCCCCTGCTACTTTCCAGCCTGAGTCCCACAGTTTTCTCCTGCAGCCGTGAGTAGGTTTTTCCCCACTCCCACTAACGTTGCAGCTGAATGAAAGCCAGGACATTTTCACTCCTCTGTTAAAGTACTGTAAACTTTTTTTTGATTCTTTTGCAATATTGTGAATAGTGGGAATTTTCCCCTCCCTTCCCCCGCCCCATCCCTGTGTAAAAGACTTTATGTTTTGGAGGGCTTGGATTTGACTTTTTGTTTTGGTTGAAAAGGGGAGAGAATTCTAGATAATTTGTCATTTTAAGCTTTTCTTTTACACTGAGTGCTTAGAGCTCATAGAGAAGACCTAAGGAAAGCAGAGGGGTTTCTCTTCTAAGCATGCTCCTTATCACGTAAAGGTTTGTAGGGACAGCTTGAGGAGAAGCTGGCCATTAGCCATCCAGCTGCCAAGGACTTGTCTTTTCTCGGAACTCTGACTAAAGTTTCTCTAAGCAAATATGCTTGTAGTAATTGTTATCTTATAGCTATTTAGGGGTCTCTTTCCTCCCCCACCTACCCAAAGGGATATGGCTAAATATACTCATACTGACAATTCCCATGACTCTTGAGAATGCATCTGAAAGCAGAGGTTGCTACTTTGCATGACAGGGGAAGAGAGGTTAGTAAAAATTGATTCCCTTTTCCCACATAATTTTGTCTCTCTGGAGTATTTCCACTTCAGAGGCTTGGTAAAACCCACCCTCTTTCACAAAGTGTAGATGTAATTTTTTTTTTTTTAATCTGTCTTGTGGAAAGAGGGGATAATTTCATCTACATGTGTGCTTATTTTAAACAATGCTGGAGATGCTAAATAAACTGCACTAGGTCAAATGCAGTCAAAAGCAATTCTCATGTGGTGGCAAACCTGGTCCGTGCCAGTGTAGAGGTCTGCTCCTTTGCTGGATGCCCACAGTGGTAAGTCTTCCAGCTTGAGTAGAGAGAGAAGACAGTTTTGCCCTGGGGCAATGAGCAGGAGGGGAGTCAGAGTGTGGCTGCCTAGTCCTAAAGTTTTGGGAACGTGTTAATCTGGCTGCCTCTTTAAAGTCTCTCATATATGGGTAGGCTTAACCATCTGCCATGGAGGTAAGAGGTATGGAAATAGAGAGACCATGTAGTCCAGGCTAACGGAGCTCTGAAGATCACTTGTGAATACATGCAACTGTTCTTAGTTCCTTTAATTTTGACATTTTTTCAGCTCATAGTTGTGGAGTGTGCTGTGCTAAAACACCTCAGAGTAGCAAAATGAGAACGAAGGGTTAAACTAGAGCACTTAAGGGGAAAGAGATCTTGAAACAGTAAAGCTGGTGCATTTAAACAGAAGGGTTTCTGCGCCTGTATGTGTCCCTTTTTTCCCAACTGTGTCAGTCTGATTAATAAAAAATACTATCTCCCCCTTACAAGCCTTGGCTCTCTGATACAGCCGTTCCTGTTTAGTAACTTCCAGAGCTCTGGACTTAAAGCATTTTCATAGTCCCTGATGCCCCATGATCTATGAAGCATTGCTGCTGCATGATCTTTAAAACAGCGTAATGCTGTATGCAGTATGGAAGATTTCTCAACTGAGAAATCATCATCCAGTAGAGTGAAGAAGGAGTAGAAGAGGTGGCACTGCCCAGAAGAGGTGGGAAAAGCTATTTGAAGCCCCCTTTGAAGCTGGCTTTTTTATGTTTATCTATTAACAGGACTTATGACAGCAATAGGTGAGAGCAGACTTGGGCTAGCACAAGAATTGACTACAGGGCAGTGGTGTGAGCTCCAGAGTGTGATGGACAGGTTTGCCCAGCACCCTGGGAACAGTGGCTGGTGGCACTGTGGGCTGCCATCTGCCAGCAAGTGCCATGATCAGTCATGTCATCTTGCCGATGTGGAGGAGTCCAGGGATCAGCTGGGGAACCTGATGCAGAAAGCTGAGAGTAGAGCCCCCAAGCGTTTATGCATTTAGGTGTTACAACAGAGCTATGACCACCCTTTGCAGGCTTTGGCTTTGCTCCAGTGGAGGAGCAAATTCACAGCTCCCGTCGGGATGCTGGGCAGAAGGCAGCGGATCCATCCTCCATCCAGGCTTCTCTTTCAGCCAGAGCATTGCACAGGTCGGTATGGGAGCTGGGTGAGGGATAAGCCAGCAGCACAGCAGTAAAAGCCCTGCCCTGGTAAGTAACTACTCTCAGCTTTGGAGCAGCACCTATATAACTGCAGACTGAGCTGGAATTGTGCAAAAAGGGGGCATTTCACCCCACCTTCAGCCTTAGTGGTGGCCTGGCTGAGGTGTTTGCGTGCCTCGGCTGCTGATGCAGCATTCAGAAGTGCCTGTCTTTTAGGTGTGGGTGTTAGGGAAGGAGCTGCTCTGGGAACTGAGGGTGCAACCTGTGGGTGCTGGAGCCCCCAGTACTGTAATGCCCCCATCTTGTGAATGCTTAAAGATTCAAATCCCTCCAGTGCATGGAAGCAATGGAAAAAAAAAAAAGTTTTTTAAAAAATAAAAAATTTAGGATGGTGGTGCGTACAGGAACCGGCAGGGGCTGTTGCCCCTTCCACGGCAGCCCTTGCAACTGGAGCCGGGAGGATTGGGATCTCGTCCCCCCTCGTTCACACATCTCCTGTCTCCCAGGAGAATGCCCAAGCGCCTCGCTCAGCTGCGAGCACAGACACATCCCAGACCCAGCTACGAGGGGTGCCAATAGCATCGCTGGGGCTAGTGGCATTTACAGAAGACTGGGTGAGACAAAAGACTCAGGGAGTCTGTAGAGTCTGTAGAGACAGACTTGCCACCCCTCACAGGGTGAACCAGATGGCCACTCAGTCCCTGCTGGCCACCCCGTCCACAGCTCATGTCCCACCTTCTTATGACAAATGGCTGGTTTTTGTCCAAATTTTATTTTCGCTTCCTTTCTGCAGAGCAAGGCTGTCCCTGCAGCTCTGCCACCACCACCGTGGCTGCTGCCCTGGGTGGGACAGCTGTAGTGACTGAACTCCGTGTTGATGGCGGAGAAAAGCTGCTTTGAAGCCAAACCCCAGCCATCCTTGAGGAGAGCGCCCAGCGCCGAGCACGCACAGCGCCACGGGGACCCACGCAGAGGCTCTGGCCACCCCCCCCCCGAGGGCTGGGTCATCCCTTCCCTGGCAGAGGACACGGAGCTATTAAAGTTTATGAAAGATGGCATTACTGTCACCCTTCCCGCTCACTTGCTCCGACACCGGTACAAGAACCCAGGTACATCTCTGAGGCGCTGTAGCAGAGGCTCAGCAGCCGCTGCCTGTGGGAAGTGGGAGGATAAAAGCAGCCGTGAATCGTGTGTGTGTGTAAGTGTGTGAGTGTGTGTTTGTTTCCCCATGCAGCCAGAGGGAAGCCTGATTTCCAAGGGGAATTAATTTGAGAAAACTGAAAGTCGCTCCTCTGCTACCAACTCATGTTGGTAATATAAACCAGTTCTTTTTCCTAAAAGGACTGCGAAATGAAACCACATAGTGCATCTTTTGAAAGTGGCATAATTTAGACAGCAGTAATTTTACCATCAAGCCTTTATTATGGCTCAGCTAACCTCTCAGGCTCTTTCCCTCGCTACTGTTACTGGAGAAAAGATATGTTGCATTTCCCAGTGTACAGAAGGGACTCATTCCCTTTGCCAGGACTGACATGGGAATGGATCTATAGTTAAAATATTTACTGTTCCTGAAAGGTGCGTCTTTGAAGTTGCCTTTTTTTTTTTTTTTCTCTTAAATAAACCAAAGGAGAGGCAGTTAGAAAAACATAGAAGTATAGCATCTGCTCATGGTGTAAGTAAAATTTACTGGTGCTGTTCTCAGGAGGGAGCAGGCTTAGGCTGGTCTGCAGCACTGTAGGAACCCAGGGCAGCCCCCAGCCCTCCTGCCCAGCCCTCTGCCAGCTGTTTTGCAGTGTGGCATTGCTGCATGTCTGCCAGGAGAATGCAAAGTGGGCAATAGAATCGGTGCTGTTGCTGTTGCCGCACTGCTACCGTCTCTGGATTTGTTTAACTCAGCTGCACCTCATCTCTCATCAAATGTCTCCGTGGGGCAAAGCTCAGCCCCGGGCTCTTTCACAGAGGCTGCTTGTGATGGACCTCTTAGTTTTGAAAAATACACCTCCAAAACTGCATTCCCAAAGAGCTTAATGCTCTTACCTGGGACTCAAGGCCTCTGCCCACCTACCTGTCACCACCCACCCCTCACCACCAGCTGCAAAGCTGTTGGGGATGAGCCCCATGAGGCAAAGGGCCCAAGATGAGGTTCAGCAGCCTCAGGCAGTGTCTCCTGCATGACCACAAGCACGTGTCCTGCTGCTCTGAGACCTCAGGGGCTGGAGGGGCCTTCAGAGCCTGTGGCTGAGGTGTTGGCCAGACCAAATGGCAGAGATAAGAAAGGACCACGAACGTGGAAACCTGAAAACAAAGGTAAAAACTTTTGAAATCCAGGAAAACTGCATAACACTTCCTTAGTTAATCTGAAAGGAAAAAAGATGAGAAAGGGAAAAAAAAAGAAAAGAAAAAAAGAGACTGATATTTGGCCAAAACCTCAGGCTTGATCAACCTGCCCATCACACTATTTCTAAACACATGCAAAGCACCCAAGATGGCTTGATATTTCCCTGTAGTGGTGCCGTAAAGTCTCCTGATCACCCA